TAGTGAATATACGGTTTATTCTTATAACAGAATTATTTATGTTCACTGTAAACAAAATAATTGTTATATTTAAATTTTAGGCCTTGTTTTGTTTTCATTTTTTTCAAAATACATTTTATCTATTTTATTTTAACCATACATTTTTCAATAAAATAATATTACACATAAATTCAAAACTTTTTACTTATTTTTAACATCACGTTCTTCATGAAATCACTATTTTCAAATGCATTTTTTGCTTAAAAAAAGGACATCAAAGTGGCTCTTAATACTTTATTGCGGCTGACGGTCGACAATCAACTGCTGTTCGTGCTGACTCAAAATCCTGGATTCGCCACTGCTCTCATTGGGGAGAAAACAAATTTGTAGTCCCCTCATTTATCTAATGGGCACTGCTGGTATCAAATGGGCCGCCACAAGCACATGGAGAAGAGATGTAGGTGCCACAGTAAAGATAAGAGGGAACCCTCTGTATGCAGAAGCATATTCAATTGGCCGACTTCCTGAAAACTTCGATTTGCAGCATTGTCTCTGTTTTCCGTGGTCAGATGCTGAACAGTGAAAAAACAGTCTTGAAAAGGACTGGATCATTAGTTGTAAGCCTCTGTATGGAACCCATGAACTCCTTTCACAAAAATTGCGTCTTTTCTTAGATTTTCAAGCTATCTGGTGGTTCATCTACTCGAAGTGAACACATTTGCAATGTATTCTATAATTTGGTTCGAGTTCAAAATTTTCCAGATAAGCAAAGCAAAACAATAAGACTACCCTTTTCTTACTGATTGTTCTTGATTTCAAATATTTAATTGAAGTTGTCTTTGGCTTGCATACTCAAGAAATAATTGGAAATAAGTAGGGGCGGAGCCAGGAATTTTATCTAGTGCGGGCAAAATTTAATCAAAGTCGAATTTTTCGATTATGGATTTAATGATATTATGACAACGCTAAAAATAACATAACGACAACACTAATAAGATAATTATTTCTTCCTTATTCTAGGATCTATAGTAAGTTGTGCAACATCAAAATTCATTTTATTCGATATCTTCGCATCAACATTTTCTACGAAATATTTTTTTTTAAAGAATCTCTACATTGACACTTCACACTAAAATAAACCACAAGTAACAATTAAGTACTAATTGATAAGAAAAGAACTACTAATTTTTACAAATTGGTAGAATACCATAAAATCATTACTAATTGTTTAAATAATTGACAAAAATCAAAATTTCAAGAATCCATCACAAATATTACCAATATTCAACATTCACATAATCAAAATCCTTAATATTAAGCAAAAAAAAATCACATGAACAAGAAAATTTTTGCTGCAAATTTGAGGGCCCAAGAATATGTGGGTTTTAGAAAAGAAATGAAATTTGAAAATATTTCAAAACGAGAGCAGATTTAAAGAAAATTTTTAATTTCTTACTGAGGGAAGAGAGTCAGAAAATGTCGTTGTACACTTGGAGTTGGAGTAAATTAGTGTATGGGTTGGACTATAAATAAATGAAAAACATACCTTAAAAAAAAAAAATTGAATTGACCATGGGCTTGGGCCAAAAGTCCAGTGCGGGCATTTGTCGGTACTGGACTGTGCATGGCTCCGCCCATGGATAGAACAACATATTTTGTGGGTTGGTTAGTTGTTGAGAGTTCATTTGCCTTTTTAATGGTTTTGTTTAATTTGTTCAATTAGTCAAAGCCAAGACAAGAAGACAACCACCTTTCCCTGAGATCCAGAGTTTGATGACAGAGAATTGTTTTATATGCTTGTTATGTTGAACTAACCCAACAACAAACAGAAACTAGCCAATGGATTTTTCCAGCACAAGTAATTTGAAAGTTGATCTAGTTGGCAGTTGGGCCTACCTAAGCAAATTGCAATTTATCACTTCAAATATTTCCAGAAGCAAGCTTTTTTCTGGCTCAGGTGGACAGAGTACAGCAAGAGAGCTGGCTGCCTCGTTTGCTCGAGCGAATGGAAGAAATGCAAGCAAGGCCTTCTCTGCAGGTGGTCCGCTCAGAAATACTAACAGATGTGCCTCTCCTATGATAAGAAAAAACATAACACGTATTACATTTAATTTACAGAACTAAGTACCACAGCTATCTAGCTATCAATTGATTGCTTCTGAACAAAATTTTTGTCATCTTTACAGAACAAATCAAACTCAGGCAATTCTGGAAATCCATAGAAACTGTGAAATGCAATACTTCTTCAACACTTGAGAATACCTTGTTTACCAATCTTGCAATGGAATCAAATCCTCCCACAAGCACCGAAGTAACATGTTGCTGCCTGCACTATTTGTTAAGATCAACATTGGAGGGTAAAATGTTATAGTTTTTGTTGTTAATGAATCTTAAGGCATAACGATACCCCAGGGCGAGGAGGCAGTTAACAGAAGCGGGGAATCTCGCTGCCAAGCTGCGATAGAAATCGTCTCATGGCTATGAGTCCGCGCCATAAAATTCAAAACCTCCACCATGAAAATAAACAACGAGAGATAGCTTATGAGTGGTTCTTGGGACATAGAGGCAGAACCAAAGGTTGCGAGATCGTGCAGATTCTTGTAAGAAAATAATGTTAAGTTTGAGTCTCAACGAGAATGGTAGGTAAGACATTGTAATTTGATCTGCTGCCATTAACAATAAATTGGTAATAATTTTTCTGTTCGTGTGTTGTGTGTAAAATGAGGTGAGGGGTTGAGTATTATATAGGAGGAAGATCATATATAAGCTTCATAGTATTGATATTCGACAGCAAAAGCATCCATGCATATGGTTCCCAATTTTCTGTTCCATTTGGTATTTTAAGCAAAGCCGCCGCCTGGTGAAGCTTTCTAAAATCTATTGTTTTGGTCATGACCGGAAGCTTTAGTTTTGACCCTTGAGTAGGTTTTGTTTTCTGAGGTCAACTTCAAAAAATTCTCTATTTATAAAGAGCATCTTAAGCATAATAGAGAGTATCTTTAAATATATAAAGTAAATTTTTCTATGCATTCCAACAAGTTCTCTATATTGACTCTTCATTTTGTTTTTTCCAATGAATATTTATTGATTTCTCATCATCTTTTAGTTAAGATAATTTTTATCATGTTATCATCAATCAATTCAAATGTAATTTGAATAATTTTTATTGTAGAGTATTGAAATTTGTAACTTATATAATGTAATTATTGTTAATTAAGAATAGAAAGTGAATTTGACTATCTAAATTTAGCTTTTGTTTGATCCCCATGTTAGGGGGAAAATGTATTTTTGAATAGTGTATAAATGAAAAATATGTAGTTAAAAAATAAATAAATAAATTTGAATTTGAGTGTAATGTTATTTTATTAAAGAATATGCGGTTGAAATGATATCAAAATGCCGTTTAAATTGAATATTAGACCTCTACATGAAGATTTGAGTTTTGATGTCCAAATTTGAAAGTATTGTTTGAAAATGTGCTAGCTTTCAAGAAAGTTGGGCCCAATTCGTCCCTTGATCATCCCTTTGAAGACTGAGTAAGGTGAAGCCGGCACACGAGCCACTTGACGTCCGTCTCCAATTTACACTTTTCCTTTATTTTATTTTTTTTAAATGCATATTGTAGTTAGATTAGCTGCTCGGGAATCATTGGGACGAGCTGGCTCGCTCAACATCAAGCCAAGCAGTGACCAACACTTCGTCTCGTAAGAGTGATTTAGTGCTTGGCTTGTCAAATTTGAGATCCCTAATTTTTTCACTAAATTTTAAACTCGCTAAATTTTTAACAGTGGTGGTACAACTAATAGGACCTAAATCGAGACAACAAATCCCTTGGAAGTTGGGATGAATCTTAAATTGAAATTTTTACATTTTCATTCACTTGTGTATTTTTTATTTTTCGTAGTTGGAAAATTCTTTCATCTATTGTCTCGATATATTATTTCACAAAATTCAATCGTTAAGAATTGAATGGTGGTATTAACTGCTGGTTATGGTTATGCATGCGTAGAACGAGTTCAATCAGCTTGATTGATGTAGTGAATGCTATTATATTATAATTAGGACTTAAATCATTGATTCATTTAGATATCAAATAACATGATTCGAAAGATGTATTTTTATTTTTTACTTCTGTTTTCATGGTTGGGATTTATAGAACAAATATATTTAGGGTCCGTTTTGATTGCGAAGATGGAATTTGAGTGGAAAAAAGGAATTCTAGGAAATTAAATTGCCAAAAAATTGTTTTACTGAAAATTGTCAATTATTGTGTTTAATTGGTATAATTTTTCACATAAAAAACATTGAAATAAAAGTATTTTTTGATATTCGTTTGATTTTGTTTTACATGAAAATTGTCAATTAAAGGAATACAATTTACTGGTATTGAAGATAAAATTTGTTTCAAAAAAAATCATCTATCTTTTGATATTCGCTTGACTTTGTTTTACATGAAAATTATCAATTAAAAAAAATATTTTTTTTCATAATTAGGGATAGATTTTGTTTCCATTTTAATTAAAAAAAAAAAATCGCTTCCTTGAAAATCAAGAAAATGTCCATATGACAAGAAAACCATGGGAAAAATTTGCAATCAAACATGGTAAAAGTGGGACCGTGGGAAATTGCAATTCATTTTCCATCGAAATCATGGCCTATCAAACATGTTTTTTTTTTTTTTTTTTTTTTTTACGGGAAAACTCGCGACCGCTATTTTTCGAGTGCACACTAGGTAAACTTTCGAATTGATGCAATAGCCTGCAAACTATGTCAGTCAGGTAAATTACACTAAGCAAGCGATGTGCGATAGACACCGAGAAAATGTTGATAGAGAAAATCGAACTTGAAAACAAAGGCTTTCACGCTTATTAATTCCATCAACTCAACCATCCATGAGGGGCAACATGGCCTTATTTTTAATCCTCACAATCAAATGTTCTTCCATTCCGGGATGGAAGGTGTCCACTGTCCAGCTAGTACCAAGCCGAAACTAATTAAAATATTATTATTATTCATTTGTTTATTTATTTATTTATTTTTATTAACTTCTAAATGAAAATTGGATCCAAGTGATCATATGCCAATTCAGATTCCATTATTCACAGAGTCACTCACTGGTTACGATTAATGGATAATGGTGGTATGAACCCTCAATACAGTGCAAAATGAAGGCAAATCCTTACACTGCAAATTCTCCACCCTTTTCTTCCCCAATTTTCCTCCTTTCTACCCCCAATTTTACGCCAAATCATGCTAATGGCAGAATAATCAAAGCATCATTATCACCATCATCTTCTTCAGACGAAAAGAAGAGCAAAATCGAAATAAGGGTTTGTACTAACAGGACTTGCAGGAGACAAGGATCATTGGAAATTTTCCAAGTGCTCTCTGGAATTGCGCCTCCACACGTTTCTGTGATTTCTTGCGGGTGCCTCGGTCGATGTGGGGCGGGCCCTAACGTTGTCGTTTTGCCCGAGGGTGCGTTTTTAGGTCACTGTGGGACTCCAATCAAGGCCGCGAATTTGATGTCGTTAGTTTCCGGGATTGATAGTAGCGAGGTCGAGAGTAGTACAGAAAATTGCTTGAAGGCATTGGCGTTGAGGAAGAGAGCTGAGGATGAAACGAGCCTCGGAAATTTCTCCATCACTTATAATTTGCTGTCACAGGTACAGATAAACGATTTTTATAATAATTATAAATATTGCTTTTGATGCTATAGTTAAAGGGTGGCAACTTGCAAGATAATATGCTTAAAGCATGTACTGATCTACAGTGTGATTATAGACCATAATTGGTATTTTTATCAAGATAATATTCTTGAAATTGGATGCAAACAAAATTTAGCAAAGCTGAAAGTTTTAATCATTTCCTTTGCAATTCTTTATGCTGAATGGAGGAATTTCCAAATGAAACAAACCTTTCACTCAGTTTGTTAAGTAGCATTCAAGTGGGGTATTTGAAAGCTAGCCGGTAATCTCTATAACAGAGTTTGTGATAATATGTTTCTAAGCTAGAGATTTTCTACAAGGGAAGATGTTTGTACATTATTATGCTGACCTGCTTTAGTATTCTAATTTTTTTTTAATTTTTTTTATTTTTTATTTTTTGGGGAAATGTATTAGAGCATCTCTAAGAAACTCTTTATAGCATTTTATGCATAATAGATTGCATCTTTAAATTTAGTGAGGAATTTTTTATACACTCCAACAATGCTCTCTATATTGACTTTTCGTTGTGCTTTTTTCAACAAATATTTTTCCTCATCTTTTATTTAACATAATTGTTTATGTCAATATCCAATCAATTATGAGTAATTTAATGAGTAGAGTATTGAAATTATAGCTTATTAAATGCAAGCATTATAAAGAATAGAGTCCAAACTTGGAGAGCGAAACCAATTCTCTCTTTTAAAAAAGTTAAAATTAAAATAGAGAGTCATTTGGCCCATATTTTTATGCATTTTCTCTCTAAAATATGGAGCATCTTGAAGAGATGCTCTAACCTAAATAGTTTTTGTTGAGGAGCTTAATATAGTAGCTTAGAATCTAAAATGTTGGTAACTATGGAAATTTCATGCACTCCTCGCTCTTCCCTAGCATTTAGCTATAAAGGAATCGTGGTGTAAATATTTCGGAAGCACTGATATTGGTGCAGAAAGGCACTGATGATCAAAAACCCATGTTTCCATTGCAGGCTATAGATCTTAATCCGTTTGGGGGTGTCCATATTTTGTACAAGGACAGGTTTGTGGCCCCTTAATTTTATGCAATTATCCACAAAAAAATCCAGAATCTGTATCTTCTGAAAAATAATCACATTATGAGGATTTGAGATATCCTTTTGCTCCAATAATACTAGCGTCCCAATGAATGCTCATTCCATTACTTAGCCATTGTTTGAGCCCCATTTTGAGAGAAAAAATGCATTTTTGAATAGTGTATTGATGTGGAATGTGTGGTTAAAAAATAAGGAAGAGTTTTGAATTTGCGTGTAATATTATTTTGTTGAAAAATGTGTGATTGAAATGATGTCAAAATACTGTTAAAGAATGCATTTTTTTTCCAAAGAATGGGGGCTCATACAAGGGATTAATCTATAGGAGCTTGTTATTCTGCCTCCCCATTATCTCCGATAAATTTTCAATGTTGAAGACTGCTTCATTATTCATTGATGTTTAATAGTTTCGTGATTTAGCTGCTGTGTCCTGCCTACTCTTTAACATTCATGTATGATGTCTTTAGTATTACTCTACATTGTGAGGAACCTACTTTACAAAGGATAGTTATAACACTGTAGTTTTAGTCAGATCTGCAGCCAGGTTGGCAATGGGAGACACAGCTGGGGCACTTGAAGATGCTACAAAGGCTTTGACTCTTGCCCCTAACTATCATGAAGTGAGTTTAATTGTTATGAATATTCAAGTACAGAGAAGCCATCCACTCAGTTGGAAACATGGCATCTAGAATTCATTTTATACCTGTGGACTTCTGGTAATTCATAAAGTGTAAACTTACAGGATTTGCACATGAATTCTGATTGGTGTTTTACCCTGGAAGATGATATGAAGCTTGAACAATTTCCTGATCACTAAATGTATACAATTTGCTATTGAGAGAAGTAAAAATATTAGTTCATGGTCAATATGATATAATATTCATGTTTGTTGTCGGAAAAATAGTTAGGTTTTTTTATTTCTTTTCCTGAGATCCAATACCTACATTAGGCATTTGCAAGAAAATTAATTCCCCTAAGTGTGCAAATATCTCCTTGGAATATATGAGCTTCAAGAGCAAACACATTCACACATTTTCATTATATATGTATTTGTAAGGTTGTCAGTTGATCACATGATTGTGATGTATGAAGCTAGATTTTCAAAAATTAAGTGTCATCGTCTAGATGTTTATCAATTTTGAATTACAGGGTTATATTTGCCATGCTGACACTTTAATGGCTATGGATCAATTTGAAGCAGCGGAGGAGTCCTATTCAATAGCTTTAGAATTAGAGCCCTCAATCCGTCGCTCCAGATCATTCAAGGTATAGTCAGCATTCACAAATCTTATCAAACATTGGATTTAGCGGACAGGTCTGATATGCATGCTCCTTTTGGTGTGACTATAGGATTTAAATAATAATCTGTAGAAGGTGAGAGCCCAACTAACAGTAGCAGTAATCTTTCCTGCCATGAAATAGAAATTGGACCTAATCTGCAGAGTTGGTGGATGGTTTATCACGGGAAGGGGACTCCCTAAATTATATCTTTTATCAATCTCTTTTTTTTTTTTTATTTATTTGGCTCCAAGCTAAAGAATCTGCACTAAAATTCTGTCTGGTGTGAATTGGAGAATACTCTGCTTTATCAATTTTGAATATCATCATACGTGTACTTACGAAGTCCACAAATCAAGAGGAAATAAACTATCAAATGGGTTGTTAGAGCTGGCTTTGTTTTGCTCTTGAAGTTAATTTTACATTGGGTTTGCTTGAGGGTTTTCTATTTTCCTTGCCTAAAAGTCAGTATCTGAGAATGTTGTGAAAAGCCTTTGCATTCTCTTCTTTATCAGTCATGTCTAAGAAGATAAACTTAGTAACCATCATTTTTGTTTCAGGCTCGAATTGCAAGGCTTCAGGAGAAAGTATTTCCTTCAAATTTGGGTTGACTTGATGTTATGTTTGGCATTGCTTGTGTCAAAGAATTGTAATGGAACTAATGGTAGATTAGTTATCACCTTTTTTTCTAGTGTTCGTTGGCTGTCCTTGTATTAAATTGATCAAGTATGGGTCTCCTTTGGAAACAGTGCTACTTGCATGTGAAAATAGCGAACACTTCGTAGGTAAGTTACCTTACTATAATATTTTAGAATTAATGGTGTCTTAACATCTCTTGAAATACATGTTAATCTCATCCTCACTTTGATCTCCATTGTAGTAGCACCACTTCCGTAGAGAATCAGTTGCTAGTGTACCAGTGGCAATATCAGAGGAATGCAGCAGCAAAGTTAGCACATATTACTTTCAGCAATTAGTAAGTATTGCAAGTGTTCAGAGAATCATTATCTTCATCGAAGTTATAATCTTTTGTTGAAAATGTTGTCTAATCATCTGGTGGCAATCTTATGTAAATTTTAACATTGGAATTAAGACATTAGCAAATGAATATAGGAAGCAAATAATTTTGCAATTTTCAACTCATAATTACCAAATTAGTTCTGGAATTAGGTAAACTAAATGAAGACTGTCACTAGCAGTTCTAGAATAAACTATATCCTCATTTCTACTTGTGTTCTTTTGCTTAGCAGTAGGTAGGGTAGAGATGAGGACCGCAGACTAAAAAATCGAACTTCTTGATCCTAGCCCACATCTTCGAAGCCCTTCCTCCTCCATCCCCACCATTTGAACTTTGTTCATCCTTTTCAAGGTTGGCACTAGAGCATTTCTTCAGACGAGCACCGCCATCATGACGCACCTGAAGGCAGTCCTCCAAACTCATCTGTTTTCCACCCCTACCCTTCTTGCTTGTGTTCTTGTCTTGTTTAACAAAATACTCGTGATACTCCTTGTTTCTCTTTTCCAACCCATATATTTGCTGTTGAAGATCATCGATTGTCTGATTAAGCATGCACACTCTGTGATCCTCTCTCATCGTCAACACACATCGAGCAAGCTCAGACGCCTTCCTCTTCAGAAACAATGATTCAGAAGCCAACCCTTTGTTCTCTCGCAGTAATGACGTCAATCTGTATTCCAATGTCGCGTTATCATTCAAAAGAATTAGCCTTTCTGATTCCAGTACTTCCAGCAAATTCTGCTGCAGCTCCAACTTTCTCACCGTTTCACTCCACTGGTTCTTCTTTATGCTAAGTTCATTCAGAATGAACTCATGGTCGATGTTCCTCAAAACCAAGTCTGCTATGATCATATCAGGGTCGATCTGTCTGGCTTTCACCGAATGTGGCTGGTATGACAGTGAACTCTCAGCATCAGAATCAATGGCTTCGCCAGTATTTCCTCCATCAAACTGACTGTTAACGTCAAAACTTAAGGGTGGGATTGGGGAGTATCGGAAGGAATGACGGTTCTTTGCAAGTTCTCGACAGTAATGATCGGCCAACGAGAGGCATGCATTATACAAGTCTTGCAATAATGCCAGTAGCTGAGGGCGCTCTTCGTAGTAGAAATTGGCTCTTAATGCAAAACTGCCAGCATTGTTTTCGGATAGACTGTTCAATGTCAGAAGTTTTATCCTCTCATCCAAATCTGACAAACCCAATTTTGAATCAAGTTAATCGAGTTGGCCTTATCTGGACCTAAAGCATGTAAAAGTTTGAAATTTAGTTTAGCATTTACACTCCATATGGAGAATGGACCCCCTTGATAGCAATAGTGGTACCATACATTTGAAATATAGAAAGTAGTTTGATGAATATAGAATTACACCACCTCGAATCTCGTTCACTCACCCATTTTGTGTGTCTTTTACCCAATCGACCATCCCGCTGAAGTTTTTGTTGGGGCAATCCCATGGGGGTTGATGTATTTGGAGCTTGGAAGAAATATGCATGGCAGAAATCCAAATCAGAATCAAACCGTATTCCTTTGGATTCGACTTTGGATTTGGCAAAATGGTTCAAATTTTGAAAACAAATAGGAACAGTAGGATAGGTAGGTAGGAAGCAAACAACGCTAAGATAGCAATATCTGCAGGCCTCGAAATTGAACTTTTGTAGGGTCGGAGATGACCTTTAATCTGCTTCTCCAGTACTCCCACCCCTACCGTCACAACTCAAAGCCAAAGTAACAATCAATACCTGGTCTTTCATGGCGGACTAGAAATGCAGTGCAACATAGGACATATTCTTCAGTTACTCCCATGATTAAACTTTAAAGGGTTGTCAATGTAAAAGTTAAAAGTAGAACTTCTAACACGAAATTCAAAATATATAAGCATAAATAATTAATGAACGAAAGTTTTGTAGTTGTAGTACCAGCAATAGTGCAAAGAAGCCATGATGGTTTGTTGAATAAGCTGCTCCGCCTTAAAACTGATGCAGCACCAATTTTCATCATTTCTGCATCCAGTTTTGCAGTGCCCTACACAAATTTACAAACCAAAGCCCTGAGAACGAGTGATGGATGAACAACTCAAACTTAAATGTCAAGTAGGAAGATGAACAAGTTTGAATTGAATCAACCATTAAAAAAAAGGGAATGAAATGAAAACAGATGTTAAACCTCCACACAAATTGAAACAAGAGCAAGAGAGAGTATTTTACCATGGAGATGGAGGAGCGGGCTCTGAGGACTGAGGAGGAGAAGTGAATTGGGAAACTGAAAGGTTGTTTTCAGCATTTAATGCAAGTGTCGGAAAATGTAAAGGCCTATGAGTAGCTATTACAATTTGGCTGACAACACACCTAGTGGCATTCACTCATTGGATTGTTTTCACATCAACTTGATTTTGCAGGCACTAGTTTGCCGGGGATTAAACTGGTTTACCACAACCCTTAACGACTGCTCACATCAAATGAGTTTCACGAGGGATTTATCTGTATAAAAAAATTATTCAAAGAATACTCATCCACCCACCTGTTAATGAGTAGTCAGTAGGGGTTCAGAACCCTGGCACCCTAACAAAGCTCACTAGTTTTTTTATCAACACACACGTTATCCAAATTGTCATTCATAGTTATACAAATGGATTAATCCTCTTCAAAATACATTTTAAAAGAGTATTTCAAATTTAAAGAATATAATTTTTTTATACACTTATCAATTTAAATAAAACAATAAAAAAAGAAAAGTTAAAGAATAAATTATAATCATACTCCCAAATATTTTGAAGAGTGCAAATAAGTTCAAATAAATTATTAAAAGGGTAATTAGCACAAAGTGTTCTTACTTTTTATTTTTTGACATTTTCACTTACCTTTCATTTTTTGACATTTTCATCCTTAATTTATATGTTCATTGCAAAAATCCCGGCGCCTTCAAATAAGTAATTGGATGTTTAAATATTTGATTCGATAGATGCAAGATTCCCAAATACTACTAGAATGTTCGCGATATGCCTCTCTTTCACAAGTTTATACATATATACAAGGTTTTCAGTACTTTTAAATGAATTCATGTCCCAAGCCATTATCGTATTAATAACAAGACAAACAAACCAAAAGCAAGAGGCAAACACGAGTGGCAGAACGAAACAAGGAAGAAAAGACAGAAAAACTATACATTCCACACTTAAATCTAAAAAAGATCTCCAATTCTCAATTCCAAAACTAAGAGGTAATTTAAAGACTCGATGAACCGATATTCCAATTTGGTTTTCACAGATAGAACGGGTTTGTAAATGGACGGCGGTGAGATCAGAAGTACCTGCATCATAGACCCAAAAGAACAAACAAGGAATAAAGATTGTATAAATTAAACAATCCTCAAATTAATGATTACCACAATTCCTCAGTACATCAGGAACACGAAGAGTAATCTGTAAAAGATTATATTCCTTTATTGAAAGGTGAATGACATTTGAAGATTGTAAAAGCATACCTTTTAAGTGATAAAGGAGTTCTTTATTTTTTTTTTTTTTTTTTTTGGATCAAAAATTTTCATATACAAGCTCACTGGGCATACCCGGACAAACAAAAGCCAATATCACAAACAACTACTCCGGGCATACTCGAAAGATACAAAATAAGTGAAGTGCGGAACAAGTCAATGACTCAACACTAAGGACTTGAAATGGATCAAGACATCCGGATACAAAGAAAATATAACTTTGTATATGTGTGTCTTGATCCGTTTCAAAATGCAATACAAGTTAGGTGAAAGGTCTTTAAAAATCTTCCTATTACATGTTAACCAAATGTAGTAGACGGCATTTGCAAGTGCAATCCTCTTTGCCTTGCTTTGCCATGATATCCCACGAGCCTCTTTTTTCAACCACTTAAGAGTGCTAATAATTGTTGACATAGATCTTTTGATGTCGAACCACTGTCTAATATTCCCCCATAAGGAAGAATGTTAGTTCAAGACAAAGTAGAGTAGCTGCATTCATTTCATGGCTGCATTAAGTCATGTGTTGCTTGTTTTTTTGTCTCTCACAACCAAAAAACTGGAGACCATGCCCAATAAATGCCGCATTCCCAGTAACTGCAAGGCCTCTTAGTTTGGTTATGGTCTTGCGTCTACTCTTGAAAACAGTAGATAATTAGAAGTACGTTGATAATAGTAATCTTACAATCATATGTAGTCCAGCCGCAGCGTGATGGAGGTGCAACAGTGCGATCTTGTTGTGCGTCCGAAACATATAGCAGACTGAAGAGATCCGTTGCAGTATCAATGCTTTTGTGGGATGTACTTTGTTCGGGCATGGTCGCCTATGGTGGAGCTTGTTGAGAATTTACTTAAACATGCACAGCGAAATTAAACAAATTTCAATTTCCATTCAGGATTCAACTTTGTATTTAGATAAAAACTGTGATAAGAAATATACCTTTTCTTGATTTTGCAAACTCCTTCGCGTTATTCCTTTCTAGCAGCTTGAATCTACCTCCCAAAGCTATTCAATTGTCCAGCCTCCAATGAAATCCACACAGAGAATATACTGCAACTGCTAGGGTTTTTCCTCTTGTGCCAGCAAGAATAATAAAAACCTTATGGACCTCAAACCCTAACCATGCATTTATATAAACTCAAACGGGTTCGGTTCGGTCTGGTCCAATGTTTAATTAATCCATTTAATTAAATCCGGTCCGTGAATTAATTAATCCAATTAATTAATTCGGAAATATAAATAACAAATCCAATTAATTAATTTATCCAACAATCCCTAGCAATCATAAGAGCAAGAGCACATCCAATTTGCCCTACCAAATTAGCAAGCTTCAATCAATCTAGTTCTAGATATACCATAGATTTAAAATCCAGAAAACGGTATTTGAGCAAATTAAATATTTTGATTCAGACACTTGAATAAAAACCATCGACACTCAACCATAGAACTCCCTCTGTTTCCTGAAATGTTGCTTAATTTGACTACGATCAACAATCTTCCAATTCTCTTTTGTGTGCGACCCATTAGGTTTCCGACCACGATACCTAACGACGTGAAATATTATTTTGATCTAATTAAAATTGATAAATTAAACACCCTTTTAATTTATCACAAATTCACACTTGCCGTCCCAAATTGACATTTAGCAATGTATCAGGGCAACACATGTGACGATTTCCAAATAAGCTACTAGTTTAGAGCACATTTCCATTTTTTTTGTTCGCAATAGAATTCGAACAATGTATGCGTTTAAGTGGAAAGATTCAAGATTCAAAAAATTTCCCTCAGCAATTCACAACATCTAATTACTGGAAGCAATTCAACTCACAGAATCACAAATACTCAAAGCAAAAATAGAGCAATTTACTAAGCGATTCACAGTGGTAGTAATACTAGAAGCAAAAGCAATCCACATTTCACATAACAATGAATTCACAGAGTTAATTCCATATATAATACAAAACTAATACATGATTTTAATTCAGTCAATATGAGTCGAAAACTCCTTTTCGACTTATATGTATACTTTGGCCAATGATTTCGTTATTGACTTAATTGAACGAAATGAAGATCACAATCTCTTACTATTTAAGAGTAACGAATCCTCTATTGATCATTCACAACTTTCATATGGTTCTTGACATATCTGAACGATGTCGTATTAGCAGCCCTTGGTAGAGCAATGTCCAACACCGTCAAAGTATGACTATCCTCATATAAGGCACTATAATGACCTCAAGTTGTAGGATCAATTTCACTACCGAACGTTAGAGATTAACCACTGACACTCAGATAGTTATCCATGTGGAATCTCTAAGCGGGTCTCCAATATTTTGTTCTATAACAAAATATCAACGTGTTCATTTAAGTGTCACCACACTTTAACTTATGAGATCAGCTACTTACTTCACAAGTGAGAAATATCACACGTGATGGTCTAACTGTATTAACGATATCCGTATCTCGTTATTACTTACGACCACAGTTTATTCAAGATCCAATTGTATGTAATTTATATCTCACAACCAATTCCTTGTGATTAACAAATCACTTAAATTTGAATTTTCGGATTCTATTATTTAATATTATTTATCACAAAATTAATTTAAATAAATAATAAATCTCGCCAAAATTAAATGTATTAAACATATTAAAAGCGTTTACAACCTAAATCGATTGGATCTAAGGCCTAACACTTACAGAGCTGACAAGATATCATTCATCTAATCCAACGATGAACGAACCCTGTTGAAATAAGAATGGGGCGTCTTTCAGCTTTTTCTGGATTAAAGTTGAATGGCCGAAACGGCCTAAACACAGCACAAAATTAAAAATAAAATAATGAATTGGAATCATATTGTGGAGGGGGAGATCAAAACTGTCTGGTTCGTGCTATCTCAAGGCTGTAGATTATCAGATGACTCTACATGTTGCAATTTCTTAGAGAGCACATTAATCAATGCAGTTTTTTGCAACATGTCGTACAGTTTTTAGTTTATCTAATTAGCATAGTGGTTGACTTTGGATCACTGGAGAAATTCCCTTATAGCAGATATGTTAAAGATTGACTAACTAAAAGCATTACCCCGGCTCTTCTTGTTGGAACAATTTGTGGGGTGTTATTGCTAAAAGCTTCTTCTTCCAGAGAATATTTTCTTGCTATTCTTTGGATTACCATTTTGGCCTACTACAGGCATTGATTGTACGGTAGTTTTAGAAGCCCATTTTTTCTCCACGTACCTGAAAATGACAACTAATTTACTAAAGCTTAGAGGAAAGAAGAATCTTGTTATCTATTAATTATGCCTGTAAACATTATTATTATTAATTTTTTTTTCTCTCTCTAAAGAGAGACTTTCATTGCATGAAAGCAACCTGCTCTAGTAGCCATGTATCTAGAGTCGTAGACCTCACCTATGTAGAAGGCAGCAATTAACACTACGAAGAAAAAAGAATAGAAATACTGACCTTCAAAGTCATTAGATGGCAAATATGTACATCACTCTCTTCCCATCTGGCTATAAAGTATATGTATGCGTAATAAAATTGAGTTTTAGCTAAACGCCATAACCAGCCTGGATTATCACACTTCTGTAATCTTCACAAGGCACAAAAGTGTGTGGTGAAAAATATAAAGATGGAGCTGTAAATAGCTTAGCAATATACTCCAACTCAAATCATTAAGATGAATAGTATGGCATCAACTTTCAGTGCACAAATTAGGATTCACTTTTAGTTCGATATGACCAACTTTCAAACCACAGATTCACTCCTTGAAAAGAGCGAAAATTGTGTGAATGAATTCAAGAACTTTAAATTTTTCTTGGTTAAAGAAGATTAGCATTTGCCTCATGAATAGAGAGAGAGAGTAAAATCCAGGCTGGTTGTGGACATTTGACCACAATGTGCAAGGTAGGTGTCACAAACATACTTGCTCCGGCAATCTGCACATTCCCTATTCTCAGGCAGCTTAAAGAGACCATCCAATATCTGAAATGATTTTTCAAGAGAGTCAAAAATGTGTAATTCTGACATAAAAATTGTAATTAAACAATCTCCGAGACTTTGATTCTAAGTAATTGATATGATGTGAATGGAGTTATTGACACCAAAATGAGATTTCGAAAACATTTAGACTAAGGCATGTGGGGGTGTTGCAAAGTCCACAGATAAAAACACATTCCAACCATCAGGGGCGGAGCCAGGATTATTTCTCAGTGCGGGCAAAATTTAATGCCTAACTTCGAGTTTTTGACTACGAATTTAATGATGATAAAAATATAGAACAATATTACGACAATACTAAAGATGACATAGCATTATTCTATAAAAATTCTATAAAAAAAGGCCATCAAGAAACTTCGATATAAGCTAATCACCTTGCAGTTGGCAGTGGCCTGCTTCTCAAGAACTGAAGCCTGGGATTTGTATATGAAACATTCTTTAATATCACATCTTTCCTCTTTTCTGGGGAAACCACCAACCATCACTGTAATGTGGACTCCATTGCATGTTTCAACAACATTAGTTGTTGCAACACCACATGATTTAAATAGCATAGTAGATAGATACAAGTTATCCACTTTTAACTTATATCTCATTTGCCATACAAAATGTCAAAATTTATGAAACTACTGACGATTATTTTCACTACTCAAGAGTAAACAACTAACCTTTGAGAAGAGGGAGTGCAGCATTGACCAATCCCATCTCACTCCATTAAGTGCCTCAGCAGCAGCAGGAACATCTAGTATGTGAAGGATGACGGATTGGTCAGTGCCCTACATCACATCCCTAGCAATCATAAGAGCAAGAGCACATCCAATTTGCCCTACCAAATTAGCAAGCTTCAATCAATCTAGTTCTAGATATACTATAGATTTAAAATCCAGAAAACGGTATTTGAGCAAATTAAATATTTTGATTCAGACACTTGAATAAAAACCATCGACACTCAACCATAGAACTCCCTCTGTTTCCTGAAATGTTGCTTAATTTGACTATGATCAGATTTCCAAATAAGCTACTAGTTTAGAGCACATTTCCAGTTTTTTGTTCGCAATAGAATTCGAACAATGTATGCGTTTAAGTGGAAAGATTCAAGATTCAAAAAATTTCCCTCAGCAATTCACAACATCTAATTACTGGAAGCAATTCAACTCACAGAATCACAAATACTCAAAGCAAAAATAGAGCAATTTACTAAGCGATTCACAGTGGTAGTAATACTAGAAGCAAAAGCAATCCACATTTCACATAACAATGAATTCACAGAGTTAATTCCATATATAATACAAAACTAATACATGATTTTAATTCCAACACAATGCTCAAGAAAAGATTAATAGGTCATCTAACTCATAAAAAAATATTAAGTTCACTATATGTTACCACAAAAAAAAATTGAAAGTTGAAAACATTAAACAAATCAAAATAACAAATAAAAAGAAAAGAGAAACAAGAATGCTTTGGGGGCTTCACCTTCTTCTTCTGCTATGTTGCCGTCTATGGAGTCGCCAGTGGAATTGAAGGTGTTTGCCGACTACCATTTAGGGCTTGAAAATAAAAAGAATCGCAAGAGATTCCAAGATTGGGGGAAGACGGCGTCGGGTGGTGAGAGTTCTTGAGAGATTGAGAGGTCGAATACCGGAGCAAAATCTATAACAAAATATCAACGTGTTCATTTAAGTGTCACCACACTTTAACTTATGAGATCAGCTACTTACTTCACAAGTGAGAAATATCACACGTGATGGTCTAACTGTATTAACGATATCCGTATCTCGTTATTACTTACGACCACAGTTTATTCAAGATCCAATTGTATGTAATTTATATCTCACAACCAATTCCTTGTGATTAACAAATCACTTAAATTTGAATTTTCGGATTCTATTATTTAATATTATTTATCACAAAATTAATTTAAATAAATAATAAATCTCGCCAAAATTAAATGTATTAAACATATTAAAAGCGTTTACAACGTAAATCGATTGGATCTAGTATGGGTTGGATAATTGAATTGGATTTGGGTTTCTTCACTTCCTTGGCTGGGCCAATTCTTATAATAAATAAATTAAAAAAAAATAAAATTTATTTGGGCTGGGCCCAAAGGTTCACTGGACCTCACTGGGCTCCGCCCCTGTGGAATGAACTTATAATCATGGAATCGACTCGGCTGTGCTACCGGAAGCTCTGGGGAAGTCGGAATAGGAGAGCACTCATCTTGGGGTGGGCTTACTACTTAGATAATAACTTGTGGGGTGTTATTGCTAAAAGCTTCTTCTTCCAGAGAATATTTTCTTGCTATTCTTTGGATTACCATTTTGGCCTACTACAGGCATTGATTGTACGGTAGTTTTAGAAGCCCATTTTTTCTCCACGTACCTGAAAATGACAACTAATTTACTAAAGCTTAGAGGAAAGAAGAATCTTGTTATCTATTAATTATGCCTGTAAACATTATTATTATTAATTTTTTTTTCTCTCTCTAAAGAGAGACTTTCATTGCATGAAAGCAACCTGCTCTAGTAGCCATGTATCTAGAGTCGTAGACCTCACCTATGTAGAAGGCAGCAATTAACACTACGAAGAAAAAAGAATAGAAATACTGACCTTCAAAGTCATTAGATGGCAAATATGTACATCACTCTCTTCCCATCTGGCTATAAAGTATATGTATGCGTAATAAAATTGAGTTTTAGCTAAACGCCATAACCAGCCTGGATTATCACACTTCTGTAATCTTCACAAGGCACAAAAGTGTGTGGTGAAAAATATAAAGATGGAGACCTGATTAATTATTGTGATAGAAATAGTTTTTCCTACAGTTGTAAATAGCTTAGCAATATACTCCAACTCAAATCATTAAGATGAATAGTATGGCATCAACTTTCAGTGCACAAATTAGGATTCACTTTTAGTTCGATATGACCAACTTTCAAACCACAGATTCACTCCTTGAAAAGAGCGAAAATTGTGTGAATGAATTCAAGAACTTTAAATTTTTCTTGGTTAAAGAAGATTAGCATTTGCCTCATGAATAGAGAGAGAGAGTAAAATCCAGGCTGGTTGTGGACATTTGACCACAATGTGCAAGGTAGGTGTCACAAACATACTTGCTCCGGCAATCTGCACATTCCCTATTCTCAGGCAGCTTAAAGAGACCATCCAATATCTGAAATGATTTTTCAAGAGAGTCAAAAATGTGTAATTCTGACATAAAAATTGTAATTAAACAATCTCCGAGACTTTGATTCTAAGTAATTGATATGATGTGAATGGAGTTATTGACACCAAAATGAGATTTCGAAAACATTTAGACTAAGGCATGTGGGGGTGTTGCAAAGTCCACAGATAAAAACACATTCCAACCATCAGGGGCGGAGCCAGGATTATTTCTCAGTGCGGGCAAAATTTAATGCCTAACTTCGAGTTTTTGACTACGAATTTAATGATGATAAAAATATAGAACAATATTACGACAATACTAAAGATGACATAGCATTATTCTATAAAAATTCTATAAAAAAAGGCCATCAAGAAACTTCGATATAAGCTAATCACCTTACAGTTGGCAGTGGCCTGCTTCTCAAGCTTCTCAAGAACTGAAGCCTGGGATTTGTATATGAAACATTCTTTAATATCACATCTTTCCTCTTTTCTGGGGAAACCACCAACCATCACTGTAATGTGGACTCCATTGCATGTTTCAACAACATTAGTTGTTGCAACACCACATGATTTAAATAGCATAGTAGATAGATACAAGTTATCCACTTTTAACTTATATCTCATTTGCCATACAAAATGTCAAAATTTATGAAACTACTGACGATTATTTTCACTACTCAAGAGTAAACAACTAACCTTTGAGAAGAGAGAGTGCAGCATTGACCAATCTCATCTCACTCCATTAAGTGCCTCAGCAGCAGGAGGAACATCTAGTATGTGAAGGATGACGGATTGGTCAGTGCCCTACATCACATCCCTAGCAATCATAAGAGCAAGAGCACATCCAATTTGCCCTACCAAATTAGCAAGCTTCAATCAATCTAGTTCTAGATATACTATAGATTTAAAATCCAGAAAACGGTATTTGAGCAAATTAAATATTTTGATTCAGACACAAAAATAAAAACCACCAACACTCAACCATATAATAGAACTCCCAATGTTTTCCTAAAATGTTGCTTAATTTAACTATGATCAGTTTTTCAGATAAAAAACTGCCTTAGAGCACATTTTCAGTTTTTTGAGAGGAAAGATTCAAGAAATTTCCCTCAGCAATTCACCACATCCAATTACTGAAAGCAATTCAATTTACTGAATCACAAATACTACTGAGCAATTCCACCGTGAATTTAATACTGGAAGCAAAAGTAACTCACATTTCACAGGGCAATTAATTCACAGAGGTAATTCCATATACAATACAAAACTAATACATGATTTTAAATCAAACACAATACTCTCAAGAAAAGATTAATAGGGCATCTAACTCAAAAAACAATAATAAGTTCACTACACGTTACCAAAAGAAAAAATTGAAAGTTTAAAACATTAAACAAATCAAAATAACAAATAAAAAGAAAAGAGAAACAAGAATGCTTTGGGGGCTTCACCTTCTTCTTCTGCTATGTTGCCGTCTATGGAGTCGCCAGTGGAATTGAAGGTGTTTGCCGACTACCATTTAGGGCTTGAAAATAAAAAGAATCGCAAGAGATTCCAAGATTGGGGGAAGACGGCGTCGGGTGGTGAGAGTTCTTGAGAGATTGAGAGGTCGAATACCGGAGCAAAACAGCAGAGATTGAGCAGCTGTCCCGGAAGTCGAATGGCGGGGCGGAATGAGAAGAAACGGGTGATTTGAGAGTTGAATGGTATTGGTATGGGTTGGATAATTGAATTGGATTTGGGTTTCTTCACTTCCTTGGCTGGGCCAATTCTTATAATAAATAAATTAAAAAAAAATAAAATTTATTTGGGCTGGGCCCAAAGGTTCACTGGACCTCACTGGGCTCCGCCCCTGTGGAATGAACTTATAATCATGGAATCGACTCGGCTGTGCTACCGGAAGCTCTGGGGAAGTCGGAATAGGAGAGCACTCATCTTGGGGTGGGCTTACTACTTAGATAATAACGATCATCCTATTCGTGCTGGAAAGTTGTTCAATTAAATGCTTGTTTTTCTTTAATTCGAATTGGTGAAAATCTCATAGTGTTAAATTTCATCTAATGTAAGTGTAATGTCAAATTTCTGATGTAGCTTTTTCTACTTATTTTCTAGTACATCAGCCCCCTTAGTTGTAAATTCTTCTTAGGATTTTCTGCTGGCTGTAATGGGTACGCGAAAATTAGGTTTCAGACTCTGACCCTGTTTTGTCTTGTTTCTCGTTTTGGGTTTCTGGTTATAGATGGAGGCACTTTATGCGAAGCTTCCTTTCCATGGTCACACTAGACAAAGTGTCTGACTGAATTTAGTTTACTGAGTCAATTTTTTGACGAATATGCATTATGTATGAACATGCATAGATTGAGTATTCAGATTGAACATTTGTTATTTTTTCCATTGGTCATTTCTTGAACATGTTAAAATGCCTACGAATCACTCATATGCCAGATAAAAATGAAAAAAAAAAAAAATATACTTTATTTTGAATTATTATGCTTCAAAACTATGGCAGATAAAAAACTCTCAGAAGATATTGTGAAGCTGAAAAAGTTAGAATAAGATGGGAAATTTGAAAATAGAGAGCCAAATACACATCCCGCTTCTGCAGTTGAAGGTGGAGCATCTAGTTTATCTGCCATGAAATCAAAGAAACGTAAATCTGTTCCTGCCATAGAAGGTACAGCTATGCTAGATATTGAAATGGAAAGTGATCATTCAGCAGATAAATGTTCTGACAGGATTGAAGTTGGATGTGCTCCTCTCAACATTCAGCAGGTATCCAATTTTATAAGTATAGGTTAAACTTTGCTTTTCGATTTCTGTCCTAACTATTGATATTAATATGCTATTATTCAGCCTGCGTGCTGTCAAAGAGAGATTGATGCTTCAGGTATTTTTTAAAGAAAGGAAAAACAAAAATTGAATATTTTCTTCCATTGGGATAATGGCATGGATTTGACCTATGTTTTTTTTTGGAAATTTTGCGTCGTGATGCGACAGAAACTGTGAACTGCATGTTTCAAGTTCTTGTTGAATTCATAGTTGGCATGAACTTGTCCTTTGTTATACAAAAAGTGAACTATTTATATCAGCATTTCATCAATCAAGTGGTATGGCACTGATTTTTATGGTTTCACAGATTGTCGAGCAATTTTTTCATTTCAAATTCAATTTTCTTGGCATCTATGTAAAGTTGGCTAATCATTCAGGTCATTTAATCTCAGATCCCTTTACATAGTTGAATTTGAACAAATATTAGTATGTTTTCCTGGGATAGTTCCAGCTGATGCCATCCTTTGTTGAAAAACATTTAAACTAAAAAATAATGTGTTACTTCTTTAAAAGGAAGATGATCAAGGTTCAGAGGGCTTTAGAAGTGGTTTTTATAGACAAAAGGATCTTCCAAAAACCATTAGCTTAAATCAGATGCAGCACACTTGGTAACAAATTTGGGAAAGGTGTTTCCTTGTTTGGTTTTAAATATTTGTCTCGAACTTTTAGTGGAATTGTTTAGTTCTGACATAGTAGCTTGCCATCTTTAATGGGCGTGTTGGTGGGTTACACCTATTTTTTGTTGGTCTGTAGGCCAAAACCACATCAATACATCGTATATCAGTTAATTTTGTGAACTTATTCGTATATGCTAATTCTTAATGTTGGTGTAGTTAAGATCTTGCCATTTCCATTTGATGTTTTAATTTCATTTTCAATGTATTCCCATATGTCCCATATATTAATGTTGCAACGATTGATATCTCGCTATTTCCATTTTATGTTCGATTATTTTAATTGTTTATTATTGATGGTTGTAGGTTATTCTTTCAGTCTAACACGGATATACAATTCGGGCTAGAGATGGCAATTTGAACCGTCAAAATCGAAAATCGCAGTTAACCAAACCAATGGTGTAATGGGGCGGATATGATATTTGATTTTAATGAATCGGTTCGTAACGGTGTGGATATGATATTTACGCCGTCGAATCGAAACCGAACCGATTAGCAGATAAAAAAAAAAAAAAAAAAAAAAAAAAAAAAAAAAAAAAAAAAAAAAAAAAAAAAAGAGCAAAAGAAAAACCCACAATTGAATTGATTATTGAGTTTTATACTACTTTTCTATTTAGCCCAAAACAAAAGTCCCTCCATTACATCTACCTGACTCAGCTGGCTAGCCCACTTACCATTAGCCCATAATAATAGCATTAGTATGATAGTATATAAATGCAAACCCTACTCTTCACAAACCACAAACTCACGTACGGCTTCACTGCCTCCACGATCCAAATCGTTGTCGTCGCCTCCGAAAACTTGTTACATTTGTTAGCCATTTTATTACTGCTGATCATGTAAAAATAGAATTCGATATTTTTGTAGATGAGCCAGTATTTCTAAGGATGGACGGTTTTAATTTTTTGATATTCAATACTAGCATGTGCCCTCTTTTTTTCGAGAGGGTCTCTCGTGTCATCGAAGGTTGATGGTAATTTTATCTCATCACCATGTCTCATCATATATTATTTCTCAAAATTTTACAATAGTGATCACAATGTCTTAGTTGATTGCTGTTTGTTACATAGCATAAAGTTGGGTGAGTCTGGCTGTTGTGCAAAATGAGACTTCAGCACTATGTTGTAATTGTCTTTAAACTTCCATTGTATGAGTTTTCTCTTGAAAATGAAATTTAGCTGCTTTTATCTTTATGTATTGAAATTTAACATGTATGTGCCCCAAGAATCGGCTTTATTGTTATTTATAAAGGATAGAGTCATTGTTTAGTGGTTTAATTGGGTTCTATGAATAACGTTACGCGGCACAAATACAATTCATGTTTATCAGTTTTGATGGGAGTGGGTTCGCTTATGAAATTAGCATTTATATTATTGATTAACTCTTGATTTAATTAAACATGAATCTTCTTCATGCATGTATATTCACATCAAACTGTTGTACAGTTTAGCAATGTGCACATATGATAAAAATTAAGACGAGATTCGAATACCTTATTCTGAAAGAATTAAATTCAAAGCTTCTTTACGAGTAGACAAAAATAAGAGGAATTCGTTGCAAGCGTGAAAATTGATATTACCTCAAATTTCACGATTTTGTAATATAAAAAATACACTCTAAATAATAATTATTCGTATTGTCTATTAACATTTATAATCGACGTCAAGATTTTTACTCACGTTTGTAATAATTTTCTTTCACACCCAATTCATTTATATCTGCATTTGGTTTCGATATGAAAGATTTTGCATCTCATTCACACTAAATATTTTGATTTTGAAAATAAGAAAAATTAACCAAAACTCTAAAAAATAAGAACACTTGGAAATTTCGTAGGAAAACATGGTTGAGATTCATGGTTCAGTTAACTGTCATCCAATTAATTTCTCCACAAGTCAATTAACAAATTACTCATTTATGATGTTAAATCCGATTTTCAAATTTAACTACTTACTCCTCTCGAGCAAAATTGACCTTAATTGATTGATTTAATCTACTATATCTCTATGTCGATTAAAACCAAACAGCTACATTAAATTTTAGTGAAAAAGTTCAATTGGTCACTTAGGTTTAAGAGTATTCCCTACAAGAACCTAGGGTATTTATTAATTGGTCTAAAATGTACAATCTTCTCTTGAACGATGTACAAATCATTTAACACAAACAATAATTGGCCAAATTGGCCAAATAAATGAATAGTGTGAAATACGATATTAAATACACATGCAAATAAGCATTTTAATATTAAAAAGCGAAATTGAAATTAATCCAAACTAGGTTAAGTTTCAACCATAAATTCCAACAATAAAACTTAGCCCATGTTAAATATATGATAATTATGACAAAGATTGGCCTAGATAGAGGAAGGTAAAAAATTGACTAAAATTGGAAAATAATAGTTAATTGATTTCAGATTCCTGTGATTTCATTTGCTTGAGCTCATAGTACTGTCCAAAGCCTACTTTTCAGTGTGCTAAGCCCATTAGTTGAATTAATCCCGGCTTTCATTTTTGTTGGTCCCTTTTTTGCTATGGTCACGTGGACTACTTGTATCCACGCAAGCAAATTTTAGCACATTTGGATTGGAGATTCGGTTGGAATATTGAGGGTGACGTTGATGGACGTAGGAGATGCTTAATGACGCAAGACAAGAATGTTTGTGCTCCGACTATGAGTTTGAACAAGCCAAGCACAATCACAATCACAATCACAAACAATTTCACCAAAGTATATGTAATCTAGACTCAAGCAAATTAATATCAAATGAACAAGAGGAAGTCAAAGTATAAAGCTAGTATATTTGATTGCCAGTCCTATACAATTTTACAAGAGTTACGATTTATAACATTCAAATCAACGTGATCATCGTTGGATCAGATCCACTTGGCATCATCTAATTAATCGAAATCTTACGTCACTCTATCATACATTAATTATATCAATTAAGTTGGTTGTACAGTCGAGTTTGACAATATGTTAGACAGAATTTTGAAATTGGGTGAGCTGGCAAAATTTTGGGTGATCTAGCAAGGATAAAAAAAAATAAAAGAAGCCCAAAAAAAATAGCAGGAACGGGGGGACAAGAAAGAAGGACCCACGTGATTTCCCCCCAAAATTCATACCATATTCTTCCCCCAAATGGTGAAACCCTCAACTACGTGTATAACCTGGTTGTAATTTGGCAACACTGGTCATCATCTTTGCAACATCATCTTCATCTT